CTTCCGGCTTTTTTCTTTTTGCTTATGTGGTGCTGAGGAATCGAACCCAGGGCCTCAGGCATGCAAGGCAAGCACTCTACCACTGAGCCAACGTCTCAGCCCTGCAAGTAGATTTTATTTTCAAAATGTGCAGCATTCCTAAAAGGAAAGAAAATAATACAGTGTACCCTATGTATCTATCCAACACCCAGGACTAACAATTACTTCACAATCATTTTTTATCTATTATCTTTCCCAAACATCCTGTTCCCCATCTTACACATACATTCTATTTTCATGTAAATTCCAGCCATATCAGTTCATCTATCTAAAAACATGCTTAAGAGCAAGCAATAATGTAAAAAAGAAGTTATTAGCAATTCTGTTATTGTAAATTTGAATTAGAAACACCAATACGAGTCATGGCAAACCTCTTAAAAAAAAACCCAAAAAAATTCCGGCTGGGTGCTGGTGGCTCATGGCAGTAATCCTAGCTACTTAGGAAGCTGAGTTCAGGAAGATTACTATTTGAAGCCAATCTGGACCAAAAAGTCTAAGAGACTCCATCTCCAAAATAACTAACAAAAACCTTAGCTGGAGGTTGTGCCCCATGTGGTAGAACACCAGTCAAGTAAATACAAGAACCTAAATTCAAACCTCAGTACACAGAAGAAAAATGAATCTAACCACTTGAAAAGAATTTTGAAAACAATGAGTCTCACTGATGCAATAAGCATTGATAACATCTAAACTGTGCTCTCCAAATAGCATTTCTTCATTTCCCAGCTTTACTTTTTTTTTTTTTTTTAAGTCAGTCATGGGGCTTGAACTCGGGGCTTGGGCGCTGTCCCTCAGCTCTTCAGCTCCAGGTGAGCGTTCTACCACTTGAGCCACAGCGCCACTTCCTATCATTTCCCATCTTTAAAAAATCAACAAAGGGTTAAGGAACTGGCTAATTCCAGCTCTAGAGAATAGAATACACAGAATGAGTCTAGTTTTCTACTAGAATACAAAGGTGCTATGTAATTCTATCAAAATAAATCCATATCCAAGAAGAAAGCCAAAGATAGAACAATGTGAATATTAAAAAGAAAAGTGCCACAAGTGCCATTAGGAGAACCTGCACAGGGGGATGGGAGGATGGCTCAGTGGTAGAGTGCTTGCCTTGCATGCATAAGGCCCTGGGTTCGATTCCTCAGCACCACATAAACAGAAAAAGCCAAAAGTGGCACGGTAGCTCAAGTGGTAGAGCGCTAGCCTT